CTATTTTCACACTCTGAAGTAATTTGGAAGAAACTAGATGATTCAAAGAAAGACTTATTTCTTAAATGTAATAAATTTTCCCCTCTGTGTTTTTTAAATTATGTTTCACAAGGAACCCAGGACACCAAAGTGCAGCCAACTGGCTCTAAAGTTCACTAAAGGTTGGACTACATGCCCACGCAGGTTGGCAACAGTGGCTGATATTACGTGAGGGCATCTCTCGTGGATGACACAAGAGTAAAGAGTCATGGAAACCCAGTTAGCACAGAACCTTCCACAGAGAGTTAAGAGAATCATCACAAAAATAAAACCCACATTTGCTATTAGAGGCAAATAGCCACTGAGGCGGGAGCAAGGTCTCAGGCAGTGGAAGCAACAGAGCAGCTGGAAACATCAGAGAGGAGCCTACACTCCTCCCAGAGCAGCTCCCTCCCTCCCCGAGGAAAGACCTACAGTGAGGATTTGCCAGGGAAAAACAAATGGTTGCAGACATTTTTTCCTATATTGTACCTTCCAGGAATTATGTAACCATCACTTTTTAGATAAACAAATCCATCCCCATGAAGGTTGGGTTTTCAAGAGGAATCCAGTATTGAAAGAAACCACAACCTAGGTTTGGGCAGGGTCTGTCCATGGCATTCAGATGAGCAAGTGAAGACCCCAGCTGCCCTCAGGACAGTGGCCCCACTGAGCCTCAGAATGAGACCTTGCTTCATGTTTACTTTTCAAATTGTGGAGCTCCCAAGGTAAACCCTCATGCGCTGTCCTGAGAATAGAAAGCCGCTGGAGTCCAGGTGCCCTCTGACCTATATATATCAGGGTCATTCTGCTGCACTGTGAGGAACGATCATCACAAGACCGGGGACAGGAGCAGGGCAGTTCACTGCACTCTCAATGCCAGAACAGGAAGGCCGTGCAGGAGAAAGGATGCCTCCAGGAGCCAATAGGAAGCGCCTGCCAGGAACAAGGCAGCTGAAATGAGGTGATGGAGGGCAAGGATGCTGCCTCTGTTCAGACGCTCTAAGTGGCAAGGGGCCCAAAGGCCAGCTCAGGCTAGCCAATGACACTGAAAGCCTAAGAGAGCCTGATTGGTGATCCAACAACAAGAAAGAATGGCAGCAATTCATCCATTTCCTATAGTGCCAGTGTCATTATAGTCACATATGACAGAGGACATGTAGGTGACAACTGCAAGGGAAGGGTAGGAAAATACTGACCTGAACAGTGGAGGTGAGAAGTCGGGAGAGGGCAGTGTCGAGTGCCCAGGCTCATAGCCAGCACTGCTAGGCCCCTTCCTGGCTCTGAACTTTCCAGTAATGCGACCCTAGGCACCTCTCAGTGCCTGGGCTATTGTGAGCATTCAGGGAGGTGATGCACACAGAGAGGTAGGCAATAAACAGCAGATCTCCTGATCACCCCTGTTACAGAGGCCATCCTAACCATGCTGGACTTCATCCACTAGTTGAGCCACACATGGTACTAGGCTGCCCTCACCCTTGTTCCATCAATCCCATCCCTCAACTGAGAGCCTCGGCAAAGTGGAAATGGACTTGGAACTATGCACATTAACATTTCCTCCACTGTGAACCCAAGAGGGGATTTGCCAGCCATCAAGTAGAAAGACACTACAGTTTACTGCAAACTGGGAGAAGGGTACAACAAGAGAGTGAGAAAACGTGAAAAGAGGAAGGAAACACAAAATGAAATTCATTTCAATTACATGACATAAGACTAAACAAATGTGAAAGACTTACATGGCCCTACCAATAAACAAGGTCTCTCATATTGGGTCCAACTAAATGTTATTTGATCACACCTAGAACAGGGCAGCTTAAAATTAAAATCTAAAATATAGACAAAGATTTATAACATAAATGCAATAAAAATAAGATATAAATTAAGTGTGACCCAACTAATATCAAAGAAGCAAAAGCAAGTAAAAAAATGGAACCAAGATTGTTTTGTATGGGACACTTTGCAATGAACTTACAACTATTATAAACGTTTATATAATAAACACATATGGCAGAAACTACTAGAAACACAAGGGGACTCTGACTTATATTTCTGTTCTTGATAAACCAACTTTTCAAAAATTTATAATTTGAATATTATAAGGCAACTTAAGAGAATTTTGAAAGATTATACCTTCTTTCCCAGAACCCATGAATACTGATCATGTATTAACCCACAAGAAAAATCTCAAATATTTTTTAAAAACCTAGAAATCACATAGGTCATATTCTAAAAAGATGAAAGACCAATTTTTTAAAAAAACCCAGTCATTCAAAGAAATGTTATCATAATACCCCAAAAGTTAAAACAACTCGCATGTCCATCAAATGAATGAGTAAACAAAATGTACTGTATCTATACAATGTAATATTATTTGGCAATAAGAAGGAATGAAGTACTGATCATACTTCATACTCCAACATGGATGAATTTTTAAAACATGATGATAAGAGAAGAAATTCATTTATTTCAGATAATTTCTATGATTCAGTTTATATAAAATTTTCATAACAGGAAAATCTATGAAGACAGAAAGTAGATTAGTGGTAACTTAGGGCTAAGTTTGGGGGTGGGTGGGGGGGTGGCTAGAGAGAGGAAAAATCAGTGTCTACTAATGATAAAAAATTTCTTTTGGGGTTCATAAAAATGCTTTAAAATTGATGGTGGTAATGGTTGTACAACTCTGTGGATATACTAAAAACTGCTAAATTGCACTCTTTAAATGGATTATATATTAATTATATTTTAATAAGTCTGTTAGGGAAAAATACAAGCCCTTGAAAATTTAAAAAAATCACCAAGTAATACTAGAACATAAATTTAAACTACAATTATAGAACATTTGTATTAAAACATGTACTATGTAGCAAAAGCAGCACTTGGAGGATAATTTATAACCTTAACTGTTTCCATTACTCAAGAATCATGTGTGATTCTATCTTTTTTATGTATCACTCAAAAAATTGCTGCCAATTAGACAATGTTAAAATGCTTTATCATTAATTGAAAGGTACATCCTAATTTCAAAGGTGCTAAAATGTGGAGAGAAAAAGCACTTCATAGAAAAAAACATGGTAAACTAAAAAGCAGAAAGGCAGTGTGACTGATAAACACATCCAAAATCTAATTCTTTGGAAAGAACAATGGATAAACCTCTGGCAAAACAAATTTTTAAAAAGAAAGAGAAAACAAAAATCTAAACTATTAGGAACATGAACACACACACACACACACACACACACACACACACATATATATATAATCATATATGCCAAGAAGTTCAAATTTACAAAAAATATACTATATAGTGCATTATGGTAAAATAATTAAATGGGTAAAAACCCTATGCTAATAATTTTGAAAGCTGGAATCAAATAGACAATCTCTTATTAAAAAACAAAATTTCCAAGTTGGATTTAAAAGAATTAGAAAATGTAAATAAAGAATGCTTATGGAAGAGATACGCCAAAGATTAAAGAAAAATTGTACTACATCCCTACAAATATTAGGAGTCACTTCTATGAAATCTTAGTTTTTCCTTATTATTAAAAGCTATTTTATATCATAAAACCAAAATATTTCAAAAATTAGCACAAAACTGAAGCCCAAACTAGCAGAAGCATTTTTTTGCCTATCAAATTGGCAAAGATAAAAAAAAAAGAAGGAGAGGCTAAGACTGTGGCTCAGTGGTAGAGTGCTTGCCTAGCATGTGTAAGGCACTAGGTTCAATTCTTAGCACCACATAAAAATAAGTAAATAAAGACATTGTGTCCATTTATAACTAAAAGAAAACATACAGTATTTGTACATGTGGGAGAAAAGCAATTTCACCCTCTTCTAATAAAAGTGTAGTTGGGCGCGGTGGCGCACGCCTATAATCCCAGTAGCTAGGGAGGATGAGGCAGGAGGATCAGGAGTTCAAAGCCAGCCTCAGCAACAGTAAGGTACTGAGCAACTCAGTGAGACTCTGGCTCTAAATAAAATACAAAGTAGGATTGGGGATGTGGTTCAGTGGTTGCGTGCCCCTGAGTTTAATCCCCAGTTCCCCCCCACCCCCCAAAAAAAGTTTAAACTGATACAAGCTGTCTGGAGAGCATTTCGAAGAGGCATGCCTTTTTTTAAAAATACCTTTATTTTATTTATTCATTTGTATGTGGTGCTGAGGATCAAACCCAGGGCCTCACAAGCGCTAAGCAAGCACCATACCGCTGAACTATAGCCCCAGCCCCCAAAGGCATAAATTTTTGCATAAGTTTTGACCTAGTAATCACACTTCTGGGAATTTATTACAAAGTAATAATCATAACTGTATACAGCAAGTTTTTGCAATAAGGTATTCATGGAAAATGTAGAAATAACTTACATGGTTAATACCAGCAGTAGATTCAAGTTTGACAAATCCATCTGATGAGGCTAAGCCAAAGTATTGAAATGTAGATAAAAACCCTACTGATTTTGTAAATGCCCAAAGGAATGATTAGAAAAGGAGCAAAGTCTCTCTAGGTGAGTTAAAGAATATTAACTTTCTTCTCTTCCTAATTCCTTATAGTAAACATGTATTATTTTCTAATCAGAAAAATAAATAATTGTTGCTATAAATTTGTTTGTACAACTCTTAAGAAATATGCTAATTAAGAACAGAGAACCAGAACAGAGGGTTTGCTCTCAAGTTTGGAAGCAACGTGGATGAACCAGTAGGAGTTCTACTACCATCACTGTGGATGTCTGGGCTGCAGCCTAGGAGCCTGGGGTTCAAAGATCACACATATAAAAAAGCAGAAAGTCCCTCTTTTCTCCCCTCATCAAGGTTCCCATCCCTGGAAGTATCAATAGCCTGTTCCAACCCAAGGAGCCAACCAATTGCCTCTTTATCCATGCTCCCTGCTATTTCCTGGAAATTTTTCAACTAGAAACTATAAAAATATCTTATTTGGCACTGAGCATGTTTCTTAAAAAAATAATAATAAGCCAATTCAGACTCCTACCTAGATAGGGAATACTGGGCACCATCTTTAGGCTTCGGATATATTCCCGTGTCCGCTTGTAATTATCTTCTTTAGACATCAGATAGTCCAATTTCTCAAAGGTAGTCTTGTCTTTTCGATTCAAAAGCTGGAAATGAGAAGAAATTACAGAGGATGAGAGAGAGAAAAGAAGGGGGGGACAGGACAGCTGTCACAAAGAACAAAAAGGACACATCCTAAAGAGTATGGCTGTCAGGTGCCAAACCTGGGCACAGCTAAAGATTAAAAGGACATTTCACACAGAGGTAGAAACTCTCACAGCCACAGTCTTCCTGTCTTCCCAGAATCTCACACTTGAAAGATACCTTCTAAATCCACCTAATCCACTGCTCTACAAGATAGACCCTGCACCAGAAAGGGGCTCAGAGAGTGAAGCAAACTGCTCAAGTTTACCAGAAGAGTTATTTCACAGCTATGTACTCTCCCTCCACATCTCAAACAGCACAAAGCCCCATGAACTGAACTTGCACATGACTCCATGCACAAGCCACAAGAACACAGCCAGGGCAGTGCTCCAATTCAGGCTGTCTCCTCCACAGTCCCCAGCATCTGCCTCTGTCATATTTACACTGGGCATGGTGATTTGATCAAAAGAAGACAAACTTCTTTTCTATAAGCAGTCATCTAAGGGGTGACCTCATTATGCAACACAAGATGAGCAGTTACCCACAGCCAAAGATTAGGGAAGCAATCTCCTTGGTGACTTGCTGAAAGCTATAGCCAAGTAGGAATGACGCATGGCATTTTGGGTTGAAAGGTGACCCTGCTCAGGGATTAGGGTTGCTCCGGGTTTAGGGTGGATCCTGCTGGGAATAGGGCAGCTCCAGGATTAGGGCATATCCTGCTGCCTCAGGTGCCCGCTCCTTTTGAGTTCTCGCAGGGTTCTGAGAGTATTGGTCCGCAGAGCCCGGTGGAGGGAGTGTATTTTCCCAGGTAGTGTGTGGAGAGTGTCGGTGAGAGTTCGGGAATAAAGAGTTGCTGTTTGAATCTACAAGGCTTTTGTGGTGGCTCGGTTATTTTGTGCCCAGCCAGACTGCGGCAGTGACTAAGACCTCTGCTCTGTAAAGCTAGTGCTTTTTGGAAAGGAGTAGAGACATAAACTCCTGGTATTCAAGATTTGGTGCTAAGGTCTCCCCTTGTGGTTCCTGAGTGGCCCAAGTCAAGGGCCAGTGCCAGGAAATGGCAAGAAGCCTCTTCAAATACAAAGGCTTTGAGGAAAGCAGCCTATGCTGAGAGTCTAGTGCTGGGGCAGGGCTACATGGGGAGGGCTGGCTTTGGCAAAGCATAGCTGTTCCTGGGAGATCCCTCAAGTCTATCTGCCAGGACCCAGAGCTTCTGGAATTGGAGGTCAATTGATAAACACAGGAGTGTAAATGAAGCAGACCCCAGGCTTGGTGCATCCTTGGCCAAACTTGGTACAACGACCTGAACCAATACACCCACCATGACCATCAGACTGAAGTAGGCCAGTGTTCAAAAGCCTCATAATGCAGCAGAGAGAAGTAGAACTGTGACTGCCCAGCACCAGGGGAAGCAGTGCAGCTCCTAGGCTAGGACTGGTGTATCAGGGAGCCCAAGGCTGTTCTGAGCAGGCCCTGCCCAATTCTTCCATCCTCAGCAGCTAGAGCCACAGAGAGTGAAGCCATGGGATAGCCCACTGCACATGATGCAGAAAGCCTATGGACTTCACAGAGGAAAGGCAGAATAAGCTGCCTTTCAAGTACTAAAGAAATTAGAGTTTGAGAAGCAAGCTTTTTTCCTCCCACTGAGAAATTCAGGACACATCAGGGTGGGGACACGGCACAGATGCTAGGAAAAACGGCTGCCTAACTGGCTTGTTAATTTGAGGCTGTTATTCATTATAGTAAAAAATGGACAGGAAATAACACCACCCCATTTGCTGTTTCTAAAGCATATAATATACAACTCATCTGAGCTTTACACAGCTCTGAGACAAAGAGGGAGCCAAGACGATCGCTTCTGGTTCAGGTTCATAATCACAAGGATTGAGTGGCTTGTCCAAGAATTGTTAGGAAACTTGACTCAACAGAGAAGTGAGACATTTAAAAAAAACAACAACAACAACATGGAAGTGAGTAAATAGAGACTAAAGACTCAGCAAATAATAAATGAATTTGGGCAAGGGAAGTGTCAAGGAGAACTGTGAAAGGAGGCAGCATTTAACATGAACAATCTGGATAAAAAGTTTGCCAAATGAACAACATATACCCAAAGCAGAACCACAAACCTAGTGTGAACTGCTCCCGGTGAAGTTCAGCAGGCCTCTCACCTCCCTTGTTCAGGAGGTCTTTTACTTATTTATTTATTTTATTAATGGAATCTAGAACCCCACTGACTTATTTGGCATCATCCATATTCATCCAATAGTCAGACAAACCTTGATTCTGTGCTCACACAAATGCAGCTGACACACACAGGCTTCCAGCATCCACACCACTGGTTCTCTGGTCCCAGCTGGATGACTGTCGTGTTCAGCTACCTACCAGCCTCCCCAGTACCCATACCCATAGCACCTCAGAGGAAGCAGGCCTGTCTTCTGTGTGTCCTCCTCCCACCATCCCACAGATGCATTCAGAAGGCCTAGATCTGGTTAGCCTCACTTATCTGCTCCAGTCAGTGCCTACCAATGAGATTCAGGGCAGCAATGATTTCTCAAGGAGCACTATATAGGTTGCTAGAATACCCACCAAAAAACTCAGACTTGAATATTTGCCATGAAGTGTATGAAAGCTGCCCAAGAATTTCCTCTAGTGAGATGAAGGCGTAAACCAGGAAAAGGAAGACATGGGATACAGGAGACACAGGACTCAGTCCAAGAGTGGTGAAGAGGTTCTGGGATGCTGGATGAGCAGCAGGCCTTAGGAGCAACTGGTCCCCATTGCAGCAGCCCTGGAGAAGACACCCTCAGGTTTTCTCTTGAAAACCTGATATGAGAGCACATTTGGGGGGAGGGGAAGATAAATAACAAATAAAATAAAAATAAGTAAAATATTTTTAAGATTGCATGTTTGTGTATATATCTAGTAAGTAGATGGGAGATATGGTAAGATGATTTTTCTAAAAGGAAACTAGAATATCCAGGGAAATGAAAATATTTAAGAAAGGACATGTTATTCATAATTTATTACTTGAGTACACAGTGAAACATACTCACTCATTCCTAATCATTAAGACACTGAATATTCCTTTAACAAAATGAGTTAACTAGAGTTTTAACCACAGTGATGGAGATTGTTTTTAAAGAATGAAGGAAGGTGGTTTGGAGAACTAAACCAGCATCTATAAATCCTATGAAGAAGTCACCAGATACTGTCCAGAGCGCATGGCTCAAGAATTTGTAGCAAATGCACATGGGAGGGATGTACATTTTTGTGGCACAAACTACCAGAAGAAACCGCTAAATAACTGGAAGTGGCTGCCTCCGGGGAGCTGAGCGGGTGTGCAGAGAGCAGGGAGGGCTGGTTGTTTCACTGAGCCTTTCAGTACTGATGTTTAAAATTAATGCATGTATATTATGTTGATAAAAACTCGCTTAAGATTTAGGTTTTTCTTAAATATAGGATTTGTTGATTCAGAAGAAAACAGCATTTACTTACACGTGTTTTAAACTTTTATTGCAAGTAGAACCCACAAACTACAAACCTCATATGAATTGAGAGTCCTTTACATTTTAGAGTTTATGGGAAGCCTCAGGAAAGAACCATCAGAACTACATACAAGAAAATAAATTACTTGCTTGCCTAGAGTCAAACGGATACTAAAACCATTCATGTTCAGGAAGAGAGGCAGGGAAGTAAAATGAAGAAAAAGTTCACTGGATGTAATAGGCAACTTTCCTCCTAGTAAAGTTAGGAGTCTTGGGCACCCTGAGATCTTTGTCCATGTTTATTGCAATTTTAATTAATTGTGTGGTTACATTTATGATTTCCTCAGCAAGTGACAAGTCCCATGAGGCCAGTAAGTGTGCTGGTTACACTTGTTCCACTATTCTATGCATTTGGTGTGGCTCCTGATAAGGAGGAAGCACTGCTAAAATATTTTTTGAATGAAAAATCAATGAGGAAGATAATAATGATAACTTAGGTAATAAGAGCCAAGATTATGGACTATTTAGAAACTACAATGAAAACACTATGTGGAGCTATGTGATAAGGCCAAAACTGTATCAAGAGGAAAATTTCTGAGTTTTAAACTCTTATAATTAAGCAAGTAAGATGAACTAAACATTCAGCTCAAGTGCCTAGGAAAAGAGGAGGAAGATAGGAGAATCAGATTGAGAAAATCAGAAAACTGATCCTCTAGTATACATCTGTCAAAGCTAAACATTGAACCTAGAGAAATGATACCTAAAACCTAAGAGCTTATTTCATCAAATATTAATGAAACAGATAACACATCTACAAAAAAGGCAGAAAGCAAAAACATACATGAGGATTGAAAAGGGGCTCTAACTACATATATGAAGTAAAAATTACAGGGTAAAAGTGAAGCCCCTACATATGGATTGTAAATCATTTTCATAGTTCCAAGTAGGCATTCCAAGGGATAAATGGGACTCATAATCCACAAGGTCAAAAGCCAGAAGATCACAAATCTTGGTGAAATACTTGCTTTTAGAAACACCCTCGTTGTGTGTGGTGCTTGTCATCTGACTATTCAGGAAACACACCCCACAGCTCTTTCTGGTAAAGTAGCTCAAATCTGGAAGTTATCCATAGAAGGGGAAGATGATCCTCCAAATTTGCTTTATGAGAACACAGTATTTTGTTCCTTTGCCTTGAGAGAATAACATTTCTTGACACACAGAAAGATTTTTCAGCAAAGAGCCTATTGCCCCAAATATGCTAAAATGGGCTCAGAATTCTTTTTCAATTCCAGCGTCTACTGTGGGGATGGAAAGAATTTTTAGTGCTGTCAATAATCTATGGAACGATGGACTCAGCAGACTAAGTATGGAATCTACAGGGGATGAAACTGGAACATTTTTTAAAGACCTTTTTTTTTTTAAACCTCTTCAAATATATGAATTTTAGGGAAGAAAAAAAAAAGGTACAAACTGGGCATGAT